TTCCCACAGCCCCCAGGCACCGTGAGAAAACTGACATTATCATTGAGTCACCTGTGATGGAATTGTAGACTTGAATATCATCAATGTACTGATGGTACTTCATCCCATGGCAGCGGATGATCCCATAGAGTGATCTCACGTAGATGTTAAAAAAGAATGGAAAAAGTACCAAGCTATATATTATAGGTCATCTTTCCCCCTATTTGATCTTCCAGTTCTAGTGGGCTGCAATTCCTATCACCCTTGGTCAACCTAGGGGGCAGTCCATTGGATTGGTGGGAATTATCATCACTCAATCTGGAAAGTTTAGAACACTTAGTTTTTCTGGTTTTGTGAAAAGCTGCTATACAGATTTTAAACATTTTACAATGGTCAGTTTTGTTTCAATTGGAAGCATAAACAAAACCTGGTCCTCCTGTATGCAAGTATAGCCTTGTTCTCTTACAAACTCTTAAATCCTTTAGGGTACACACATATATACATTTGAAATATTTGTGTTTTGCCCCTCTTGCACTCATGCCCAACTGTAGCTGTTCATGAATCTACAGTATATAACATAAAAATATAAAAATTTATCTCAGTAATTGATCAAGGCCAGATATTGCATATAGTGTAAGTTGGCTAAAACACCAATGAGCCAGGAGTTTAGCCATAGTGATGTACAAAGTCCTATTTTGATAAGAACATTTATCAGTCTTCGATTGGTAGTTTAACTTATCTCAGTAATTGGTCAAGGCCAGATATTGCATATAGCGTTAATCAATTAGCGAGATTTAACGCTGAGCCAACTGAAAGGCACTGGCAAGCTGCTAAACGTGCGTTAAGATATCTGAAACAAACAATGCATTATGCATTGTATTTGGAGCCTAAAGATGAACTGAGTTTAACTGGATATGCTGATGCAAGTTTTGCTACAGACAAATCTACATCGGGTACTGTAGTATTATTGGGAAAGGCATTGATTGGATGGAGGTCTGTTAGACAAACATCTAAGTTTGTCAATAATGGGGGCTGAATTCTCATGTTGTCTTTATTATGTACAGATTTAGTTTTGTATAAACAATTACTAATTGACATGGGAATTGATGTAACAGATCCTATTGTTGTTTACGAAGATAACCAATCAGCAATAAAGATGGCTTCAAATATTGCTGTAAAAGCAAGAACAAAACACACAGATTTAAGATATTTAAATGTGAGACAATGTGCGCAAAGTAAGATGATTAAGCTAGAATACTGTATGTCAGAAAGCAATATAGCAGATCATTTTACAAAGGCCCAAGGCTCTATAAAGCATAAGGCTTGCTGTGAAGATTATGGACTTAGAATGTAAGGTTGTATATATTGTCCTACCCAAAAGGGGAGAATGTTAGGAATATAAGTCACCTAACAGCTATTTGGGTTGAAAATATATAAACCAGGATAAACATTTTAATATTTTTTCTTTAAGAAAATGCAAAACTGTAGTTGGGTGTGTTTTCTCAAAGGGCCATAAGATGGAGCCAGAAACCTGGGTTGTCTTAGTCTTAGTCTCAGTCTCTCTGTTACTTCTGTTGGAGAGAGTTGCCATTCCTCCATTCTTCTAATTGACTGATATTCTTGGATTTGATAAAAGTCTGATACTGAACCGTTTTTGACACTGGACTTTGTTATTGGATTATCCCTGGATTGAAAACTGACTGATTTTACCTGTGAATGACTTTGGACTGCCTATTTTGAACTTTGCTTAAACCTTTCTGGAAGTAAAAACCTACATTTACTGTACAGTGTATCTATGTGCTGTGTGTGTATTATTCAAACACTACTCTCAAATATGTCTCCCTGTATGCGCTCATTCTCCTAACGGGGAATTACCTCAACAGAGATGCCTCTGTTAAAATGCACTGAAGTAATCATGATCATAAGTCTCTCTGCTGGGACATAATACATGTATGTATTTAATATGTATAACTAGAGTTACATAGTCCCTATTAAATTTGATCTCTCATGTTTTTGTCCTGCTTGAATTATTGAATAGATTGCATTTATGTAAATTGGGTTTATATAACATGGCTTGAAAGGATTACATCTTTTCCTTTCAAGAATGTCATCAGCCTGTCTAAAAATAATCATTCCTGTGTAATGCATAACAAGGGTCAAATCTTTCTAACGCTCATGAATTTTAAGCAACCATATTTCAGTAATCTAAATAGCTTATTGTTGCATTGCCTGTTTTAGATCTATAGCAGAGATGTCTGGTGTGATGTGTGTTTTGGGGCGTCTCCTAGAAATTATTTTCTTTGTGATGAACAAGAAAATGTATTTGCTATAAATGATAAATCAATTGGGCAATGAGCTTGATCTAAAACAGGTTGCCAGCAGCACGTTAAAATTAAATACTAATAATTATTCACAATAGTGGTTGACAGCCTATTTATGAATTGTGTTGTGGTGCAACTAAGTTAAAATTTTAGTCATTTCTTTGGATTTGGAAAAACACACATCTGAATTATAAAAACAAAAGAAAGCTATTTTATGCCTAGTCATTACACATGTAGTACAGATCTTTCTAAGGTGGTTTACCATTTGTTATAAAATGCAATAATAGAATCACAATAAACAATGAAAATAGCAATTAAAAATCTACATTATTAGGCTCCTTCTTAAATGAGCAGTTGCTTGAAAAGAAAATCCAGCTTGAGCTGCCTCTGCAATTTTTGTTTGCCTCCCATGTTTGTCTTTCTTATTCTCACAACAATGTATGTATAATGTTCAGAAAATGCCTGAAAAATACATACGGGGTTTAACTCAGCAGCGTGATTCTCATTGCCTGCCAAAATCCCCATGAATTGCTTTGGGAACTTATCTGTGCTTAAGACTGTGAAAGGAAAGCTGATAAGCAAGAAATCAAATTATAGTGTCCATTTTATGATAATAGGTTATACACAAAGCTTGTTCCTAAGTTGCAGCTGTCAGTTCAACTTCTTTTTGAAATGTTCAGAAGAAGAAAAAATCTGCTGTCTGGTGCAAAGAGTCAAACTGGAGGATTATTTAATATAGATTTTCTAGCCTTCCTATTAAATCCCAAAGAGAGATACAATAAAACAAACCAAAAACCCATACTAAATTATAAATGATAACAGAGGATCGTGATAACCAGAGAAACACACCAATGACTTTGCTGCCCATGTTTCATGAAAAGCCTGGGCAGCGTTGTGGCAAGCAGTAAGAACAAATAGGAGTTTTTCAGTGCAATTTAGCTTGGGAGTTTAAGTGAGATTTTTCTAGCCATCTTTCCTTTTAAACTGATAGTTTTAGCTGAAAGCCTGAGAAGGGAAAAATAAACAATTTAAAAAATTACTGGTGGAACATTAAAAAAATGAAGATAGATGGATAGAAGTTTGCAGCTGTGACCTGCAATGCTTGTGGCATTTTTCTGTTCCTGCCTATGAAAAATCCAGCCTATTTTTCAGCTGGGGGCAAACAAAGGATTAGAACAGTGAAATATAATGAAGTTGATGAAATATAATAAAGTTTTGTTAGATCATGGAAAGAAGGAAGCAATTCATCATAAGGCATACAATCATACAAAAAAAAATCTTTGACAAAAATAAGGATTGGGGATGTGATTGAATACTTTTCAAGACTTATCAAGGTCATTCCTAGTTGTTCCTTTGTGCTAATTCCTTTTTCCCATTTTGGGAAAAATCATGCTATAAAAAACAGTTTGCAATGATATCGCCATGGATATTAAACAATAAATAACAATCCCACCTTTGGGCTAATGTGGGATTGCTATTCCTTCTACTCCATAGAAATGGATTGAAAATATGAATATGAATAATTGGCTATCATACAGTGTTGATGAAAGAGATTTGGTTTGCTGGCACAAGAAGGATATACCGTACTTCACAGGAAAATGTCCTAGGACCTAGGCTGAAGTATGGGGAATTTGATTAGAAAGGCTTTAATGGAAATTGGAGCTGAAAAATAAAGACATCTGGGGGGAAAAAAACCCTATGTGTATTATAGAAAAAAAGGGAAGTGTAATTGAACCCTTAAACTCTATATGAAAAAACATTGCTTCATAAAGTGAATTTAAATCTCAGGGCAAAATGCATTGGGACCTATGATAATATAGCTGAGAATTTAGATGAACCTTTTTATATTGTTTTTGAAAAACCTTGAGAAACTGATGAAATGCCAGATGACTGGAGAAGAAATGTCATTCTTGATGACAATCATTGAGGACATGGTGAACTAAAGATATCCCTGAAGAAACAGAGGCAACTTTATGGCTGACATCAACAGCTGGATGTGGAATTTGTGCTGGCAAAACCTCCCCGGAGAAAGGAGAGATCATGAGATTGCCTACATATACTCCTGACAGTGGCTCCTCATGAGTAGATGGCAGGAACCAATGTTTCTGTGATCTGCTTATCAGGTTGAGTACTTCAGTAAAACAAATATTTAAAAAAACAAACATTGGAATATTTTGAGTAGACTGCACTGCACACAAGGTCACATTTTGGGAGTACATTGCCTGGTCTTTGTCCCAGACAAAGCTGATCCTTTTCTCTGCCATTATGTACCTTTCCATTCAGAAGTATCTTTTGCCTCTCTGTCAAAGCATCTTGCTTTTGGCAGGAGCTCACAACATAGTACAGTACTCTTCAAATGTTTTGAAGTACAGTGCTCTATATAGGCATTCTGCTATACATACATTGGCTATCTCTTTCTCCTCTCCCAGCTCTTACATGTATGTGCAGAAATAGGTTTGTGTGTGTGTGTGTGTGTGTGTGTGTATTTGTTTTCTTATGTTTTCGCGGGTATTTATATGTATGGTATTCAGCTTTGTTCGGGTATTTTCCCACATCTTTATAGTTGTGCTTTTAAAGTTGTAGCGACATTTCAGCAGAATCTCATCTGCCATCATCAGGCTCACACACAAGCCACACGAGTTTGCATACCTGGGTGCACCCTGCAATTCAGAGACCTCCTGTGTGTCTTCATTCTTACAGATCCAGCAGCAAGAGAAAAAGCAGGACACCCAGAGGAGCCCATCTGCCTTGCCAAATATTTCAGTGTTGTGTGGTGCAAAGCCTCAAAGAAAAAGCACAAGAAGTGGGAAGGTGATGCTGTTCTTATAGTGAAAGGAAAGTCTGTGATGCTCAAGGATATGGAAGGCAAAAACATTGGAAGAGGTAAGAGTGAAATGGAAATAATTATCCAGGTGTTTGTTGGAAGAAATATTGTTATGTAACTTTTACCAAAGGAAGAAAAGGATACTAAATTTGATGACTGGGGCCACACCTTGAAGGAAGGTAGGGTTATATAAAAGGAGGTGAAAAGCCCAGGAATCCAGAGGTCTAAATGGTCCTTCCAGTGCTTAAGATTTTGTGAGTTTATGAAGGAATTATCTGTCTATTGGTAGAAAGTTAGAATATTACATAGCCATGTCAGCTAATTGAAACTTGTGTGTTCAGAGATAGTTTTGTCATGGCTAACTTGTGAGTGAGGCCAGATTTGTATCTTCTAGACTAGAGCACTGGTGTCAAACCTGCAATGTCATGTTGCCATCAAGTGACATTTTGTGATGTTTTCCCATTCGAGGAGCTAGCGTGGACGTGACCTGCATCTGGCCTGTGGGCCACCAGTTTGACACCCCTGCTCTAGAAGTGTTAGACTTCAACCTCAATTATTATCATTTTCAACTATTATAGCTATTGTCTAGCTGGGGTTGTGGAAATAGTATTGCAACACATTTGGCAATTGCCAGAATGGAGTTGGAATGGTCAAAGGAGAGGAAAAATGGCAGTGATTAGATCTTTGCATAAATGGGTTGGAATTCAAGCTTAGGGATTGAGATGGCAAATTCAGCTGACAGGTTTAAATAGTAGTGAATGAAAAATGCTCTTAGTGTACTCTGAAATTCCTTGTGTATGAATAGAGTATATTTATTATCCTCTCAAAAGGAAGAATGAATGGAAATCTCCCAATAAAAGGAATGTTTGGAAAGTATTATTCTGAACCACCTCTCCTGAAACATCTTCTGAATCAAGTCCAAAATATTGCCCTACTATTAGACATTCCCTGAAAATTCCCATATTCAGAATGTTATTCCATATTCGGAATATTACTCTGTCACCTGTCTTTCTCTCTTCCTTACATATGCACACTCTGTTTCACTCTAGTTATATTTTTCTTACTACTACCCTTTTAAGAATGTTTCTGGTAAATAATGGAATTTAATATCTGCATATCCACAACACACTTCCCTACATTTATATATTTGCAAGTTAATTCCAGTTCAGAGGAGGGAAAAACTAGACTGCATGTGTTCAGTGCAACTGCAAATGATTTATTTAGTTAAACATTTTTGTAACGATTTACCTCCTCCACAATGAAGTACAGAAAAATATGCAAGAAGGCATACCTTGAAGCCATTTCTTTATAGCACCAGTCTTTTGATATAATCTTTTATCTATTCCACTTTATCAGATGTAGTAAGTTCAATTCTTAGTTGACACCTTGTGTGTGTGTGTCTGTGTCTGTGTGTGCATGCACGCAGAGCCAGTTTGGTCTAGTTGTTAAAACATCAGGCTGGAAAGCCAGAGTCTATTTGTTCTAGTTCCACCTTAGCCATGAAAGCCAGCTGGTTGACCTTGGGCCAGTCACTCTTTCAGACCAACTTACTAGGAGTCAACAGTATCCAAATCAATTATAGCTGAATAGCATTATTATTCTAGGAGGGTGGTGAGTGGGAGGCAGCTGTACAAAGTATTTTTCGGTAGCAAATCATTACCAAATAAAGGACAATCTCTGACATTTCAATCAAAACTTACATGCTTATGCAATAAAAAACAATGTTCCAGACCCCACAACTATTTACATAAATGTGTTTGTCTCTAAAGTATTATAGAGTTCTTTGTTTTCAGAAAAATAATAATTGGTGCTGCTAACACAATTATAAATATGAGAGAAATCAACCATTTTCTGCACTATATTGCTTAGCAACAAGGGCTAGCTTTCATGCATTACTCATTAACTTGTTAATCAAGCTTTTTTGTTCCCAATGCCTGATAGGATTGGATAAGTTAGAAATTCATTTAGTGAAGTAAATGAAGGTGTAAGATATTTTCAGGAATGTGTTTTTGAATTTGGGGTTAGAAATTGTTTTTTTTCCCTAGCCTTCATAAGTATCAGGTCTCTGGAAAGCTTCTAGCATGCAATCTGTATTTTGGAACAGTGGGTGTTTTGGCATCAAATGGAGCTAATGTTTATCTTCTTTTAAAGTGATACTGCACCATAAAAATAAAGAAGCTATGTTGAGGATGTTCTTGATGTTTTTCAAAAATGTATAGAGCTGTTTAATATTTTTTTTCTTTAAAGAGAATGTGTCAAATATCAGTATTCAGCTTTTTAGTCAAAAGAATTGGCTTTATTTCTTGTACAGTATGGCCATAATGTCTTTTTTCTTAAAATGGGAAGATTCACTTGACCAAATGTATTCTTATTTATATCCGTATACCTCTACATAACCTCTATAATTTCTTTTAGGCACTGGATATCAGTTCAAAGTTTTAGACAATCTCACTGAAGGTCAGAGTCTGATGATTGGAAGCAAAGAAATTGAAGTGATGGGTGTGATATTGGAAGAGGACTTTAAAAGTGGCAAGTGTTTTCTGTCTGGTCTGGAGGCCACAGAAGAAATTTGGAATTCCCCAATTGCTTCAGCAAGATGGTTTTGTAACCCTTTCAAAAATGTTTCCAAAGCCAATACTAAAGAAAATTGGTCTAACTGTAAACCACGTCATGATCCGTTCGCTCCAAGTAAGAATTTCTTTTTGAGTTTATGTTAATCTGTCTATCTCTGTTCTATCCCCTTCTAAAGAAAGTGAATTAGTAATCCAAATCAAATTCAGACTCCCTCTAACTGTCGCACTTATATTGGAATTCACTCCAGTCATTGTCTCAACATATAAAGAGGAAATTAACTTGGGGAAGGCCAAATTAATTAAATAGGTGAATTGGATAACCAAAATCGAACTTTTTTCTCTCGTTCTCAGAATCTCAGTATAAAACAAAACTAAGCACTGTGGATAGGGTGACATCTAGATGGAGTGAAAAAATAATGTATCTGAAAACAAAAATCATATGTAAACTGAACAAATAGAGGATATTCCTCCCCTGATAGTTTGGAGATATTGCCATCTCATTTGCAGCAAAGTTAAGAAACTTGCCAATTGCTCATGAGTAGGCAACTTACTATTCTCCAGATATAAATTCCAGACACTATGCCAGTGATCAAGAATGATGGAAAATACAGTTGCTTCTTCAAACAAGTATTATTCTTAGTCAGAATAACTCAGTTTTGTTTTAGGTTGTTTCTCAGAGCATGCTATAAGGCCTAAGATCCTCCATAATTATTTTAAAGTAGCATGCTTAGCTACTGGAAACATTTGAGAACCCAGGCCAGAGTACAGTAGTTTGTTGAACTATTTATTCAGTATAATGGATCTTGGAACAACAACACTTTCAGGGTCTTCAACCTATATATGTAAGATATCTGTGTATCTGCAATATTTCTTTTAACTGAATGGAAGAGTCAATATAAATGTAGGGACATTTGGGGACATCCTGTGTCAACCTAAGAATGACCTTTCTATGGTCAGAACAACCAGAAAGATTTCTTTATTTTTCCAACTTTACTCAAACTTCTACCCATTTAAAATCAGGTCTTAGTAGCCTATTTCAAGTTTATTTATTTATTTGACTTTTATCTTGCCTTTTTTACTGTATTAAGTAACTACATATCTAATTCTCCTTCCCCCTCCTATTTTCCACACAATAACCCTGTGAGGTGAATTGGCTGAGAGAAAGTATCCAGCCCAAAGTCACCCAGCTGACTTTCATGCCTAAAACAGGACTCAAAATGTTTTGATACATTCCTAAAAGTTGGATTATTTGGGAAATTAAATAAGGTTGAAATATAACCCAGTGAAACAAAGTGTCATTTTGTTGATTTTATTTTAAGAATTTTTTGAACAAATATCAAAGTTTTTCCTCTTTAATTTTAAACATCTTAGATAAGCCTGTTTATATGAGACTGATAATTGTGTATTAACTATGTCAATTTGAGGATTAAAAGGGTAGGATTATTTGCATGTTTTGGTTTGAATTTGGCAAATAGTTATTTTTGGTCTTTCACTTAGAAAACTGGTTGCTTTTGCTTTAAACTAATCCTTTTGCACTGATAACATCTATGTTTGAAATTTAAGATTCCTTAGTTATGCCATATCCGGGCCCAAGTCACCAGCGCTTGTTTAACAAGTCACATTTGCCTGTTGTGGATGTGGTTGTAGACCCTTACATAACAAGCCATCTTCGCCCACATCAGCGAGAAGGAATTCTATTTCTTTATGAATGTGTGATGGGAATGAGGTAAGAAGATGATGTTTTCTTGGTTCTTGATTTCTCAGTCTTTCAGAATATTGGTACGTTTTGGGAAAAGTTGGTGAATTTGCCATTGGAATATTGTAAAAATCTGTGCTAAAGCTGAGGAGAGAAAGATATGTTCATCTAGGTGCGATTTTCAGCAACATTTCTGTGAAGATCCTATTGATACAGTTTTAGCCTTTAGAGATCCAGGGAGATGACTATGGGGAAGCTAGGCAGAGGTGGCGACAGTTACAAAAAGAAGAACAAACTTCTAGCAATGATGGAAGTGTGAGAAAAAAAACTTTTCTTCCTTCCTTCCTTCCTTCCTTCCTTCCTTCCTTCCTTCCTTCCTTCCATCCATCCATCCATCCATCCATCCATAATGCTGGAAAATAGCATTTGTACAAAATATGTTCTAGATGTTCCTTATTCCTCAAAAAATTATGCAGGATATCAACCATGGAAATTGCAAAAGCAAGAAAGAGAAAGAAAGGGTTGAGCGGGTGGGTAGAGAGAGAGAGAGAGAGGAGACACTGCACATAGACCAAAAGAGGAGAAGAGTATATGAGGATAATGTGGACTTTTTATGTGGAGGCTAATACAATAACTGTAACTAAGCAGTGGCCTTTACCTATAGCATATTTATAAGAGCTATTGTGGTTTCTCGGTTTATATACAATCTTCACATTGTCCTTCCCAAACAAGAAAACTCAAGCCAAATAAACAAAAATAAACAATACAGTTAAATACAGTGAAGGGAAAACATTGCTTCAACGTGTACCCGTCAGCTTTGGTCTGCTTGACTTATCAAAAACACAAGATTTTGCCTCTTTCACCAGCTGATAAGTCATCTTTCTGAGCAAGTGGTCACATTTGGCATTTCCAGATAATCTTGTGGGTAATGTCACAAAATGAGTACTGGAACAATTTACAACATGGCAGCCATGGGGAACACTATCATTGTTGGATATAAAAATGATCTTGGAAGCTGATATTTTATTTTATAGCATCCAAATGTACTATTTTTTAAAATTAAAATACCCTCTGAATGATTAAGTCACATAGACAAGGTGGAGCCAAGGAGTCATGCTTAGCTAACTTTGGCTGACCTAAAACAAGCTAAGTGAGCTTAGACATGGTTAATATTAGAATGACGGACTAACAAGAAATGTGTGAGTTGTAACGGGAAGAGCCAAACAACCTTGTAGGAGAAGGCAGTGGCAAATTGTTTCCTCATTGTTGCCAACAAAACTGAGATCTTGTCCATATGGTTACCAAAAGTTGGTCTTGACTTGAAGAAGTCTTTTTTTTTTTAAACCATCTTATTCATGCAGCCTTGCTAAAGCTTTTCCACAAGGGCTTTTTCGCTCTCTTGGGTAGAAATTAAGGAGATCTAGGCTGGAGAAAAATTACTTGTTGCCTAGTTTGGTTGAAAGCTCCAAATTCTATAATTATAATATTTTTAAACCTGTGATTTTGACAGAGATAATTGTCTCTCCCACCTCCATCCCTGCATATTACAAAAGCTTTAAAAATATTACAGAAATGGATGGTTTTGAAGTCTACTTCAAATAAATCTTTAAAAATCAGAGAATACAAGCAACAATTCAGTGAAGCACAGGCAGATCTTTTGTTGAATTATATTGAGACCTTTTGTTGAAGGAAGGATCTTTTTATGAATAATGCAACTGCTTCTTCCCTGGAAAATTCTCCCTTCAGAGAAATAATTAGCAATATTGTTCACCATATTTCGTATTAACAGGGAAGCTGATGAGACCACTTTATAGCAAAATTAAAAATATGATATTAATCTTACTTAATAATTTATTGTGCTCAGGTCTGCAACCAAATCAGGGACTTCATCCACCAGAGGGAAGGGCACAAAGCAATTTTATTGGTTCAGTTTTAGCCAAATAAAAGCTTGGTTATTAATACTCCAAAAGATGGGACAGCTTTTGCCAAATTTGGTGAAGGTTTGGGAAATAATGCAGATAACAATGAAAGGAGTATTATAGTTTCATGAAGGAAACATTTATGTTTACATGGATCACCTATCAGCCTTACCTCAAATTTTCATATTCTTTGCTCCTTCTTTTAAATTTAATTTATCAAGTAGAACTCTTTATGTAGAAAAATTCTTCACCTAAAATATAATATTTTAATACATTCAAGTGGGCAGGTTCGGCATATATTCTCAAACGATACAATTTGAATACAGGAAGACAACAACCTGTAGCCTCTTTCTCTAACCCAAGTGTATCAAACTCAAGGCCCATGGACCGGATATGCCCTGCAGGGTGCTTAGATCTGACCCATGAGGCCAACCTGGAAACAGCGAAGGACTGGCCTATGGTGCCTCTGCCAGCGAAAACGGAGATCGGGAGGGCTGCTCCATTTTCGCTGGCAGAGGGTTGCAGGAGGCCATCGCAGCTGAAAATGGAGCTTGGGAGCCCATTTTCGCTTGCAGAGCCCTCCGGGCCACCACAGGCACCCCCAACATGAGTGACATTTAGCTGGCCATGCCCATCCTGGCCCTCTGAGGTCAAACACAACCCTGATGTGAAATCGAGTTTGACATCCCTGCTCTAATCCTTCTGAGTTCAGATCTGAGTATCTATATTTTACTACAAGTACTGTTGTTCCCTTTTAATCCAATCTATTTAACTGTACAAGCATAACACAATATAACCTACAACAAAAATGAACAATGTTATGTAAAAATATAACAATCAACAATCATATTTAATCCCATATTTTTTATTTTGTATGGACATGTTGGAATAAATAAAACTAAATCAATTAAATGAAAAGACTAATCCATAAATACTTTTTTTGCTACATTGCCAAACAATAAGGATGCCTAAAATGTTCTATTAAAATGGCAAAGGCTTTCTTGAAATTACTTTATACAGTAATCACTTTCTTTTTCTGTGTCTTAGAGTGAGCAATAGGTTTGGCGCCATCCTTGCAGATGAAATGGGTTTAGGAAAAACACTGCAGTGTATTTCACTCATCTGGACACTCCTGCGCCAAGGACCTTATGGATGCAAGCCTGTAATAAAACGAGCCTTGATAGTAACTCCTGGAAGTCTGGTGAAGAACTGGGGAAAGGAATTTAAGAAATGGTTGGGAAATGAGAGAATCAAAGTGTTCTTAGTTGATCAGGTGAACCAAAGAGTTACACTCCTATCCCTAGTAATTATGTTGTTGTTAGTCGCGAATTGTGTCTTACCCTTTGTTATCCCATGGACAATGGTCCTCCAGGTATTCCTGTCCTCTACCATCCTCTGAATTCCATTTAAGATCATGCCTACTGCTTCAATGACTCCATCCATCCACCTCATTCTCTGTCATCCCTTCTTCTTTTGCCCTCAATTTTTCACAGCATTAGGCTCTTCTCCAGTGAGTCCTTCTCATTAGGTGACCAAAGTATTTGAGTTTCATCTTCAGGATCTAACCTTCTAAAGAGCAGTCAGGGTTGATCTCCTCAAGAATTGATCGGTTTGATCACCTCGCAGTCCAAGGGACTCGCAGGAGTCGAAGGCCTCAATTCTTTGGCCCTCACCCTTCCTTATGGTCCAACTTTCACAACCATACATTGCAACTAGGAAAATTGGGAATAATTATGTTAGATACTCCCAAATGTTTAGATGAAGTTCACCTTCATTTATAGAACTCTTTTGATTTAATTTCATTGACATGACACCTTTTTTTCTTATTTCACTCTGTGGAACAATTTAATCTAAATGTAACTTCACATTCCTTCTCTTCATCCAGTTTCTGGGCTCACATGGAGCACTGAGCTAGAATGTATCTTACTTATTTGGGCTTAATACAGTTTATCAACCTAAAAACTTAACATATGAGTAGCCATAACAAACTGTGGTTAAGACCTTAAACTCACTGTATGAAGTAGCAGTCAAATGAATGGATGCTGCAGGCTTGCAACTCAACTGTTTATTTTCAGTACTTATGATTAAAAAGTAGCCTTTCAGTATAGACATTTTCCTTCTTTCATTTCTTCCTAAAAGCAGTGGCATAGACATATTATATGTACTAAAATGTCCAATTGTTATTAGAAGGGGGTTAACATTGGTTGGAAAGTGAACAGGAAACAAGGAAAATTAATGGTGTCTCGCAGTTGGATATTGGATTAAAAATTAATAATTGGAAGCATACAGGAGAAAAATAATTGTGCGTAATTTAAACTAAGTTAGTCATCCCCTCTTATTGTCAATGACTGTTCATAAATTAATTCAGAATAATTAAATACATTTAGTTATATAAGTAAGACATACATTTAGACATAGATTCACTTTTACTTATAATTCCAGCTTTACCATTCCCACATAACTTTCAATTCTCTTTACATTCAGGATCACAAAGTGGAAGAATTCATCAATTCCCCCCTTTATTCAGTCCTGATCCTTAGTTATGAGATGTTGCTACGGTCTGTGGACCAAATTCAAAAGACAGAATTCAGCCTTGTCATCTGTGATGAAGGACATCGTTTGAAAAACAGTTCTATTAAGACAACCGCTGCTCTTCTCAGCCTCTCCTGTGAAAGAAGAATTATTCTTACTGGTATGTATATCATTATTCACTCACCACAAGCTTTTGGGGAATACAAAAAAAAAATAGGTAGAAAGCAAAACCTTCTCAGGAGTATATCTGAAAATGGGTTGTATTCTTGGGTATATGAATATAAGGTTGAGGTGAGTATTTCAGTAAGTATCATTGAAAATATTGTTCAACCTACAGTGTTTTTTTTCCAGTGAAACTGGTCTATCAGGTCTACCCAAATATGGGACTGAACATATTGTTTCTGCTTTTACCTTTCAGCCCCAATTCAGGACCCTTCGCAGGCAGTTGCTTTCATGACAAACTATTTGTTGTGTTGAATTTATATTTTACCGACAAAGAAATAATAGTACAGATCTATTTCAAGCTATTTAGCTCTCATCAGCTAGCCATACCCTTTCTGGGATTCGAACCCAGGCTACCATATTTGGGTAGACCAGTTTGCCCTGATAGATCAGTTTCACTGGGAAAAAAACACTTAATCTTTCCCCTGGTATAGCCTGCAAAGCTAGGACAGCCCATGGCTTAGAGGTTAATACATCTACCTAATATGCAAGTAACATGGGTTCGAATCCCAGAAAGGGTATGGCTAGCTGATGAGAGCTAAAAGAGATGTATACCAATCTCCCTTTATTTCTTTTTGGTAAAATATAAATTCAACATTGTTCAACCTACAATAAAAAAAATTAAATTTGTTGCTCCCTTATATGGGTGCGTTAAAAAAGTGAATAAAAATCTAATTAGGGAAGGAGGTGTGTGTGTGTGTGTGTGTGTGTGTGTGTGTGTGTGTGTGTCTTCAAGTCAGTCTTGACACTTGGAGACTGGAGTAGTCCCTTTAGCAAGAATCCCAAAGTGGTTTGCCCTTCCCTGCTTCTTAGGGTTGAAACAGTATGAATGGCCCTAGCTGGTTTTGTGCCTAAAGCCGGACAAGCACCCACAATCTCCCAGTTTCTAATCTGGTGTCATAACCACTACACAAAATTGGCTCTCTTGTATTATTTACTAAATTACATTTTGTCGCCCAAGGTACTCCAGTACAAAATGATCTTCAAGAGTTTTATGCTTTAATAGAATATGTAAATCCTGGAATACTTGGTCCTTTATCTGCATACAGAAAGGTGTATGAGGAGCCTATTCTTAGATCACGAGAACCTTCAGCAGCTGAGGTCTGTTATCACAACAATTGGAATTTGTGACTTTTTACTGATTGCATAAAATTAAGAGACATAAGGTTTCTTTATTATTGGAGGGATAAGTAATGTATTGTTATGAGCGGCAATACATATCTTATATTTAAAGTTATGTATTATATAACTACTGTCCCAAAGATTAACTATTGAAGATATACTAGAAACAGGAAGAGAAAGTTCTCTGCTAACAAAATCTTATCATGTAGTACAGGGAACTGAACCTTTTAATCTATCACTTCCAAGTTATCAAGTGTTCTTTCCAAGGAAAAGTGTTTAACCTTACCCTCTCAGTATATTGGAAAATGGCAAAAATATTTATTTCACTAAGCTTTTAAGGTGTTAATTGGCTTTAATTATAGTAATTTTAATTATAGATTTTATTATCAAGTTTTTTTATTTTGTGTTTAGTTTTATTGTTCTAAGCTGCCTTGGTAGCTTAGGAAAGCAGGGTAAAATTTTAAAATAAATCAGATTAAGACATTTATGAGTTTATTTCAAAATTGTTTAAAGCAAATCTGAGAAGCAAAGGAAATATAAAATTTAAGAAGAGTAAATTTAGACTGTAATCCTATTCCAAATATACTAGGCATAAAATCTTTATTTAATTCATTGGGATTCATTGAGGAGGGTCATGGTCAGGGTTCTAGAAGCTTTTGTGAAGGAAGAGACCTTTTTATGTAAACAAAAATGAATAGAAGGCCATGGCAGGAAATATATTCCCATGAACTAATTTGATATTCTATTTTATTTTCTAGGAAGACATTGACTTAGGTGAGAAAAGGGCAGCAGAGCTGATGCATCTAACAGGACTCTTCATTCTAAGAAGAACCCAAGAGGTCATCAACAAATTCCTGCCCCCCAAAAAGGAGAGCATACTTTTCTGTCGTCCAACTGTGTTGCAGCTTGCTCTTTATAGAACTCTTTTGAACTCTCAGATTGTTAGATCTTGCCTACAAGGAAGTTTGGAGAATAGCCCACATTTAATATGCATTGGGGCTTTGAAAAAACTTTGTAACCATCCCTGCCTTCTCTTGAAAACAATACAGGTGTGCATATTGAATTATGTTTCAATATGTTTCTAGATTCTTAGAATTGTTTGCTGGGCATTTAAATCTGCAATCATTACAGATTTTGATTTGATTGAAAACGTGCATTGCTTTCTCTAACCAGCTCCTTCCAGAAGGACTTGGGAGACAATAGCAGATTCATGAAAACGTCATACATGGTTTTCAATCAATACAGTAATCAAACATTTTATTTATTAAACAAATGTATATGGCTGCCCAGTTCATACATAGCGACTCTAGATGACTTACAGCATTAAAAATCCATAATCTAAAATTGATCAAAGCTGGGGATATCATTGGATTGGAATGAAAGATGGTGACTGTTTGGAAGGGCTCAAGATGCATCAGAATGGAAAAGCCAACTTTAGAAGTGAAATTTCCAAACAGTCAGGAGACAGATTTGCAATAGTTTCAGTGCAAGTGGAGGACAGTGTTGTCCACTTTTGCATTCAGGAAATAGTGGGTAGTTGTCATGACAATGGGAACAAGCAGAAAGTGTGGGTATGGCTTTAGTTGGAATGTCACTAAAACAGTCAAATACTTTTCCAAAATTGTCTTCTCCATAGAAGATAGAATCTGAGTCTCGTGAGAACCAAGATCAAACAAACCTTTATGGTGGTTTACGTGATGTTTTTTCTCAAGAAAGTGCTCAGACAAATTTCTCTGAGAGTGACTCAGGAAAGTTGAAGGTGCTAACGCAGATGCTGGCAGCAATTCATGAACGTGGACCTTCAGAAAGGTAGGAAGGCTATTTAAATCGAAAGTACAGTTTGAGTGTGTTTGAATCTTATAGTTTAGTTCTTTTTTCTAAACAAGAGACATAATGTCCCAAAGGTGCTTTTTCAAGAACTTTTTCTTTCAGAGCCAAAAAAGCTTCTTGGATGAGAAGCTAAATGTCTTCAAAGAAAAACCAGTAAGTCCATTTGCCTCTTGAAAAAGCACCTTTGAGACAACCATGACCTGGATGACTGAGAATCTCCATAGACAAGAGACATCATGGCTTCTAATTTATTTCTTAGCTATTGTATTAGCTAGTGCTATGGAACTTGGTAGTCATTGCTCTTCCATTTAACTCTGATCTCTTCAGAAGACTGAAGTAAATTCTCATATCTCTTTTTAGATTTTTGTTCAGGGAACATGAATGAACTTTTTTCATTAGTTTCAAATTCTCCACATTTTTATCTGATTGTTGCTTGTCGATGGTTTATACATTTATTCTAAATCTATCCCAGGAGAAAATCCAATATTTTCTTGCTAATATTTTCCTACATTCTTGATAACATACTATTTTGATGTTGGAGAGCTGATGGCAGAGAAGCAGAGTCTAAAATATAGCCATCGACAATTCATTAATAATAAACCAAGCATAGAGATATGAAATACAAACATACCGGTATTATGTTTGTCTGTGCTTAATAACTTCAACAAACATTGTAGGTGGAGCAGTGAGAGGTAGCTGAAAATGTGCCATTCCATATCTAAATATAAGCTAGCTTCCTGTTAATAACTATCCATGGTATTTCCCAACAAATTCTTTCTTTAAAACACAATTTCTTTTTTCTGGCCTAATCTCATATAAGATCAAATAAAGGTTGGTTTCACATATGCTTCCTGGTGGAACATATACTCTTCCTTATAGAAACAAAATCAGAAATGTCCTCCCTGCTTCATGATTATCACAACAGACTTGTGTTATAACTGTGTTATCTTTTCAGGACTCTGCCTATTTCATTGTGGTGGGACTTGATTTCTGCCCAAATATATGATTTCCCACTGGCCTTCTAATAACCTTAGCCTATCATTTAACTAAGACACTATTGCTATACATCCTTGGTTTGCTGACATCTTCTCTGCTTGAAGTCCTTCATATGAATAAATGGTACATTTTTCTCTTAGTATAATCTCTTTGATAATAATTGACATGTACACTAAATTAAAGCCCATAATTCACTTGGTAGTTCCTATCAGAGAACTGAAAATTTTGTTTATTGTATTATAAGATGCAAACAAAACTAGCATTAGAATAATTTTGTTCCATCAACATAGATGGAATTTATAATAACCAGTTTTCTATATTCCATGCTTACAGAGTCGTTGTGGTATCTAATTATACACAGACGTTAAATATATTACAAGAAGTATGCCAACGACGTGGATATCCCTATACTAGACTTGATGGCAGCACCCCTGTGTCCCAGAGACAACAGATTGTTGACAGTTTCAATAGTAAATTTTGCCCAGCCTTCATCTTTCTATTAAGTTCAAAGGCTGGTGGTGTAGGTTTGAACCTTGTTGGAGCATCTCATTTAATCCTGTATGATATTGACTGGAATCCAGCAACTGATATTCAGGTTTGTTACATTCTTTAATATTGGAACTGCAGAGCTATTAGCATCAATCAGAATTAACTGAAGTCCTTTTAATGATTTAAATCCATTTAAATAAGTGACTATTTATTAAAAGCCAATGTCAGTGAAATGGCAAGGCTTGCCTTCTTAGAAAAAATTACATAGAGGATGCTCAACATTTTGTTTAGTCGGTCAAACTTTTGTCAATGTTTTTGACACATTGTCATGGAAGACCATCTGCGTGGTTCAACATTGACCTGATGCCACATAATTAGTCAGTCAAAAAATTGCAAAAAAAATTATTTGTTTCCTCATGAACTCACTCATAGTAAAACAGGAGCATGGTTGTAGCCCCATTTTTAGAAACAAAATTAAATAAGCAGCATAGTTAAATAACATTCCCAAGCATATGAACTGGAAGGTCTTATCCATCATTTATATTGACTCATTTTCTCTTGTAGGCAATGGCCAGAGTGTGGAGAGATGGACAGAGGCACACAGTTCATATTTACAGACTACTCACTACAGGTCTGCAATATCGTAGTTGTAATGCTCCCCCCCTTCCCCCCATTGGCTAGTATCAATGGTTTTGACTGTTCTTGAATGTACACTTCATACCTATCTCTGGTCATTATTTTCAGGAAGTGAATGAATGTCTGCTTTCTTTAATGCAGGCACAATAGAGGAGAAAATCTATCAAAGACAAATCAGCAAGCAAGCTCTCTCTGGAGCGGTTGTAGACTTTTCCAAGGGATCTGAGCATATCCGTTTTTCTGTTGAAGAACTTAGAAACCTCTTTACATTGCATGAAGATTCCAATTGTGTGACCCATGATTTGCTGGAGTGTAACTGCATGGGAAAGAAAGATAATCAAGGTGAACTTTTCTGAGTGGCTCCTGCCTTATTTCATATATGGGATAGTTTTATTGTTATCTGTACCCCCTCCCCACTTTTAAATTGCAAAATGATTGCTTTCAGAAGGGTCAAAAAAAGTTTGCTGATGATGGCCACAACTCTGCAGTCAAAGCTGCAATGCATATAAAAAAAGGGGGGGAACTTTGATTGCATGGTTGTGGCTGCCCCCTTGCCGTTTTTGACCTCCCACCCTCCTTGCAGGCAACCCTGGTGCAGAAGCTAAGATTAGTGGATTTGGTGAGCAATTTTATGATGTTAAATATGTTGTTTCTTTTATTGAGAATTGAAATCTATGTCATTCTGTGCAAATATTTAACTTGGTTATAATTATAGGTAAAGATTCAGGTCAGGCAAAAGAAAATATTTCTTCATATTGTAGTTTGGGAAAGAATGAATTTGTTGTACCAAACATAATGGCAGCCAGTTGTCAAGACAAAATAAGAGTCAATAGCCATGTTACAGCCAGCAACTGCACTTTCAAAACCAGTTTTCAGGTGCCAATGTCTATCTTAATGATTACTGAGCCCCCCAAATATAGAAAATGTTGCCACTGTTATTCATCATGCAATCTTGAGTTTTAGAGCTGGAAAACAGTGAGAACTCTCTCTGTTCCAAAGGGGGATTAACATAGCTGTGAAAAATAAACGATCAGAACTGTCTGATGTCTATCTACTAGATACACTACAGTGGTCAGTTGATACAGTTGCAGGGAGATAAAATGGGAGAGGAAGAGGATGGTTATCTTTTGTTAACTACTCTGGGAAACAGAATGTCAGGTTAGAGGACACTAATCCAGCAAGTCGCTTCTTAGCCGTAGTTTGCTGTTTGTCTCAGGCATCAGTGGAAATGCCTCTAGAAATTATGGGTGCTCCAACACTGGAAGTTTTTAAGAAGACTAGACAGCCACTTGTCTGAGATGGTATAGGGCAGTGGTGGCTAACCTTTTTGGGCTCCTGTGCCAAAAATTGTGTGTGCGTTGGCGCTCGCGTGCCAGCACCCACAAGGCAATGTGTGCTCTTCCACGCCCCCTACGCATACGCGCACAATCCCCCCATCCACCCCCACCACCCCCTTACCTGCATTGCCCCTCACAGCTGATTTTCAGTCAGTTTGAGGCCATTTTTGGCCTCCCAAAGGTTTGAGGAAGGCTTCTGCAGGCTTCTGCAAGCTTTGTAGGCCAAAAACTAGCCCCGTTTCATCACTTCCTGTTTTTCTGAAAATACCGGAAGTGACAAAATGCGGCTAGTTTCCGGCATACAAAGCTTGCAGAAGCCTGCAGAAGCCTTCCTCAAGCCTTTGGGAGGCCGAAAAAGGCCTCAAACCAGCTGAAAATCAGCTATGAGGCACGCACATGCGCAAAGAGGTAAGTATGCCTGCAGCTCGCAGCTCTGTGTGTCACAGGTTTACCATCACAGGTATAGGGTTTCCTGCCTGAGCAGGTGGTTGGACCGGAAGACTTCCAAGGTTTCTTCCAATTCTGTTATCTGGAGTACCTTGAGTTCAAATCAAGGCATTTTTATAGCCATAAATATCTTTATTTCAGAATGTTCAAGTATTGTTGAATATTACTCATCAACTTATGATTTCTTCCTGTTATTTTTCTTAGGTTGTCCTGTGATCCAAGATGACCAGAGGAGCCAAAGTGGTGTGAAAGTCAAAAAGTCTCTGACTATGTCACAGCTGATGCAATGGAAACACTTTTGTGTGGATCACGAAAATCTCCCTGATCCCTTCCTTGACAGGATAAAAGACGACCTTACATTCATTTTCCAAAATATAACAAGTTGAGAGCAAGTTCTTAGTTGCAGTGAGCTTGTATTCATTAGGGTATTATCATTTTTAACAGCAGCAGCAGCAGTATTATTAATAATAGGATTACTGAGGATAAAGAGCATATATCAAGGTTGACACTGTATTATTCTTTTAATCCTTAAAATAAACTGGGGGAGGGATTTCTTTGCTACCCCTTTTTCTCACAGTGTCACATCACTCTAACAATTTCACAATATATTATACTTCAGTCTAACCCATCCAAGATGTTTTCTTCAACTGATGATAAGAACAAACAGAGACACGGCTTTCTCTTAATCGTGGTTATTTCTCTCCATCAATAAATAAGCCTGGATTTGTTCTCAGAATTAGTGTGTCAAAGAAGATATATTGCATTATATAATTATGAGATAATTACAATTTCTAAATAGTGGGAAAGCACTATTTTCTTCCTCGGGGAAGAAACATATTTGCCCGTGTCCCTTTAGCAACTGAGATTTCATCAGATAATAAAGAAATGTTTTCCTGTCATATGTGTTCCATGAATAACTTGTTTGATGTACATAATTAGTGGCATGGTTCTTCTCTTCATTTATTCCTTCATTAGCATTTTTCTTCCTGTCCTAGTAGAATGAATAATGCGTCATTTCCATCCATTGGTTTAATTGCCCTAGTCATGGCCTCTAGACACAGTTGAAGCTATATATTTCATTTCTTGATCTTAGCTTCTCAGTTCTGCTTCTGTTAAATTCATTAGGAAGAAGGCTGTTGCTCAGTTAAAAATAACAGATGTTTGGCCTGCAGAAAGCTAACCTCTTTTGAAAAGTGATCTACACATTCAAGCATATCTGCTCTATGGCTTTGACTCTACAATGTTACCTTTTTAAATACAGTGACTGTTCAATCTATGCTGAAACCGTCAAAATGCAGGGCTGGGTGGTGTTTACAGGAAAGGATTGTTTGAAGATTCTTGGACATCTCCCGAACGGCTAGTTCTCTCTGATTTATGACATTCTGTTTTTCTATTTAATATCCTTATTTTATCCTTGATAAAATAAATCTGTTCAGACAACTGAATATGTGGAGATTGGCAAAGTATGATTAGGTAAGGAGAAGGTTACAAATCTACTCTGAAAGGCCTCCTGCACAGGTCCACTTCTGTATTTGTTGAGAATGTAGGGATTTCCCTTTAAGTATTTATTTCTGTCCAAAGGTTGCTGCAATGGTAGCTATCATAACAGGCTTATTTATAGGATACAAAACTTTCAAAATTTCAGGCAATTTACATCAGCAAGATATCCACAAATATTTTCCATCCTCAAATGTTTTCATACTTATCCTAACACAATGCTTTTAGCTACATATTCAAACTGTGTTTATGCTACTAATAATATTAAAAAGAACAAAAAGTCTTTCAAGTGATACTTGACCAGTTTGTACAAACAGTGCTTCTCCAGTTTATCTAACCTTCTTAATTGGATTAAGTTATATAAGCCAGTGGTGACTGCAAGTAGACTATGTGCAATAAAATATAATGAATATAATGAATATTGTTTGTGGCTTAATCAATCATGCTATAAAAGTACAGTTGCTTCAAAGTATTCTATTTAAAACTAAGAGATTTAATTAGTTCAAATGTACCATTCAGCTAATAAAAACTTGGATTGGAGTTCATGCAGTCAGCTAAAACATAATGTGGTTTGTTTGGTGAATCCAACTGTTTTCTATATCCATGCATTATTTTATTTATTTAATCAAATGTCTATCGCCACCCAGCTCACAAATTTGCCTCTGGGAGGCATACAATAAAAATAATTACAGTTTAATTTGTTGGGTGGATCCAGTTAATTGTCATTTATTTATTAAACTCTGGGCAAACAGACCATAGTTTTGGGTGTGGGAAATAGATATTTACATCAGAGACTGTATTCTTGGATTACCTTGTAGTCTTTCATAGGCTTACTTGAGAGTATGTCCTCCTGAAAACAGGCATGTGAGTATATCACATTATTCCCTTGTAGCATAAACAAAATTATTTTGTTATGTAAAAAACACAAGAGTAACAAATAACAGGCAAAATATTTGTAATATGTATCTAAATCTCATCCACTCTTGATCAGCTTGCCCACGGTACTAAATTTGCATACTTGCTTTTCTAGTCACTATGGGAAATTGCTTGTTAACTGCTATTCGGCTGTTAGGAATCTTTGTACTGAGGTTTTACAGTACTGGGTGAGTTTCCTTCAAGCCTTAGCAAAATAAGTCTTAACATGTTTGAGGGCTTACTCTTTTTTTTTAAATAAGCAGAAAAAGGTTGATTAAAATGTTTAGTTTCAAAAGTTACAAATGAACTAAAGTTCCAGATAAATTCGAAATAAGATTTTGGAATTAATTTTAAGAACCTTTCCTGTGGAAAAAAATAGTAAGATAAAACTTTGAAAATTGGACCCTATTGGAAACACTGGTCAGCAAAATAATTTCCAATATTTTTTTGCTTGGTTATATTTTTTTTATGATTATGATAGACTCCTTCAAACTGAACACAAATATAATTTCACAATGACTGTATCACACAGGAATCTTGAAAAACATGAAATTAACTTAATAACTAATGCATAATGCTTTTGACATGTTGCATGAGTTCAGCATGGCCAGAAGTCTTGCTGCGGATTTTCCTTTATACTCAATGTCCGATGCATCTCATTGGTTTCCAACACTAGTCAGCCAGCATTGATGGATTCCAGCTGCTATGATAATATTTTTTATCCATTGTGGCAATGTCCTGGTGAAACATTTCACCACGTTCATAACTGACTGCGCCTAGATTTTAGGGAATGAAATATTTCCATAATTCAAACTTCATTTGTCTCTATTTCTCTTCAGAAAAAAAAACATTTTTAAAATTAAAAACATATACCTTAGTGAACTACAGCTCCCTTAATCAGATGCAAGAAATGGCTAACTGTTTAAAATTGGGGCAAATCCAGGATGTTTCCAATCCAGGTTGATTGGTTGGTTATTATTTATTTAATTTCTATAGTTACCCATCTAAACCCAATTGGTAAATTGGACTCAATGAGTCCAATTGAAATATTACAGTTGACAAGCACCTCATCAATTAACATTGTAAGAAATTAAAAATCTATTGTGTTTGTTGAAACCTGAGAATGCCCAAATCCTTTTGCTGTACTGTATATGAGCCTGTGAATTCAACAACTGCTGGCTCAAGTATGCTTTTAAAACCTCATTTTTCCAAAACATCAGTTTAGTCCTATTCATCTGATAAAACGATTCCTGATTTTTTTGCAACCATAGACTAACCGCTTTTCTTCTAGAGGAACTTTAGAAAAAGTAACTTTTCTCACACTCATACATGGTTGTAATCAGTGGTGGGATTCAATTTTTTTTACTACCGGTTCTTTGGGTTTGGCTTGGTGGGCGTGGCAGGGGAAGGATACTGTAAAATCTCCAGTCAGTGGTGGTATTTGCTGGTTCCCCAAACTACTCAAAATTTCTGCTACTGGTTCTCCAGAACTGGTCAGAACCTGCTGAATACCACGTCTGTTGTAATACAAATTTATAAGATTACCCTGTCAAAAAGTCTGAAAAAATGTAATACTTTTTCCTAAAGTGACCTGCAGATGGCAGCAGCAGAGCGTATACTTTACAAGTTTGTGGGTTAAAGAAGCCAAGTTCTAAATGTCTCTATTCTCTGCTATTTAAAAATTAAATTAGCTAAGAGACCGCATGTAACAAGTCAATTTTGTTTCTCTTCCCAATCCCACCCTTCCCACCTGGAGGCTATAGGTAGGTTATGGATTGTTTTTTAAATGATTTTTGCAGCCACAATTGCTGAAAATTGACAACCTGCCATTTTGAATTTAATCTTTGTTTCAATCCAACTCCTGATCCTGAAATAATTGCTGGCCATTTACAAAAAAACAAACAAACAAACTGTTTTTGGGAAGAGAAAGAACAAGAGAAAGCAGCATAGAAAGAAAGGAAAGCCAGTCTGGTGTTGAAGAAAACAAGTTCAGGTTTTATTTGAGCCTGGAGCTGATGGGTTAATTTGAGCCAGCCACTCTCATCCTGTCTCAAAGGGCTGTTCTTTAGGAAAACAAAATAAAGGACAAACACCATGCAGATTAGAATAAACTGAGAAAAAATCAGTGAATGCAGTACAAGTACACCTTGCTTACCGATCTCCACATTTAGTGAAGTCAAGACAGCACTAGAAAAAGTTATTTTAATAGCCTGTTCTTGCATTTTCACCCATCCCAGCATCCCCACAATCATATGATCAACATGGGCATGTTGCAATTGGCAGTCGTTCACAATCATTGCAGCATGCTGAAATCACAAGATTGTTGTTTGGGTGCTTTGCAATTGGCTTGTGGCAAGCAGAGTCAATGGAGAAAGTGCCAGTAAAACTAGAGGTCATAGTCATTTGATATCTCGCTTAACCATGGGCTTATTTGGGTTTGTGCTGGACTAAATTCTATAGCATATAGGGCAAAGGCCTTTAAACTTGGCAAGTTTAAGACTTGTGGACTTCAACTCCCAGAATTCTGAGCTAACATGACTGGAGGAGGGATTCTTGGGGTTGAAGTCCACAAGTCTTAAAGCTGTCAAGTTTGAAGATCCCTAGTATAGGGGATTCCTGGAGAAAAGTGTGTATATGTGTGTAACAAACAAGGAATTCACACTTTAATGTTCTATTTTCCTTAACTTGGGGACTTGGTATGTATTCTATGCAGATTCATATTTGTATTTACTGCTATGCCTAAACTCACATGCCTCCCCATATGTGTTATATAACACAGCGGTCTGTGGTTTAAGAGTGCTGCCTGACGTTTGAGGGTCCCTTACATAAAGAAGTGTTAATACGGCGTTATAATGCCTTGGTAAGGCCACACTTGGAATACTGCATTCAGTTTTGATCACCACAATGTAAAAAAGATGTTGAGACTCTAGAAAAAGTGCAGAGAAGAGCAACAAAGATGATTAGGGGACTGGAGGCTAAAACATGAAAAACGGTTGCAGGAACCAGGTATATCTAGTCTAACGAAAAGAAGGACTAGGGGAGACATGACAGCAGTGTTCCAATATCTCAGGGGCTGCCACAAAGAAGAGAGGGAGTCAAGCTCTTCTCCAAAGCACCTGAGGGCAGGACAAGAAGCAATGGGTGGAAACTAACCAAGGACAGAAGCAACCTAGAACTTAACAGAAATTTCCTGACAGTTAGAACAATTCACCAGTGGATCAGCTTGCCTCCAGAAGTTGTGAATGCTCCAGCACTGGAAGTTTTAAAAAAGATGTCGGATAACCATTTGTCTGGTTTCCTGCCTAAGCAGGGGGTTGGACTAGAAGACCTCCAAGGTCCCTTCCAACTCTGTTATTCTGTGATTCTAAAGTAGAAATCTTTATGCTCTTTTTATTAACTTGTGCCTCTTAAATTTTCTTGAACAAATTGATTTGTAGTGGTCCCTTCTTTCCTCCCAGCTTTATAGGACTCTATCTTACCTTCAACTTAACATTATTTCTAGAGCATTTATCCTTCAGGCTGCCTTTGTGTGTGTGTGTGTGTGTGTGCGTGCACACACACACACACCAAGCAATGCTTAGCCAATCGCAAAATGACTGTATGTATCACTTATTTTGGCCATGTCATGTGGGAGAATTCACTGGAGAAAGCAATTATGTTTGGAAGAGTTAACAGTAAAGGAAAACCAGGCTGCCAAAAAACATGTTGACTGGACATCATCAAAGCTGACACTAGCCAGAGTATAAAACAACTCAAAGAAGTAGTGCAAGATTGGAAGAGGTGGGGAGACTGGCCCATAGAATCACCAGGAGTTGGGCATGACTGAATGGATAACATCATCATCATCGCTTAGCAATAACGGATATAACATGATTTCTTTTAGCAGTTTCTATGCAGGACAAGAAAATGAAACTTTTGAACATTAGGAGTTAGCTTGTTTAAAAAAATCTATGCTTGCTGATCAGTGGAAGGAAGACTATGTATATATCTACATTGCATATATCTCCTGTTCCATTCATTTGCCAGTTATTACCCCTAATCAAAAGCAATTTTACTTGTTTAATTGGTCAATTTTACTTGTTTAATTGGTCAATTTTACTTGTTTAATTGGTTTACTTGTTGCAAGTGGTCAAAAAATGCAAGAAAAATATTGTAAGGTACTTAAAGCAAACAGTATTTTGGAAAAAGCAAGTGAATTTATCGTTTAGTAACCAAAGCTAATTCTCCTGCTATCAGGAGCCACCTAATTACAATAGCCATCTGTCTTTTTGTAACCAACTAAGT